GGGTCATTCAGGAGGTCCTTCATGTCTGGTTGATCCCACAGTTCAGAATTCCTAGGGTTCAAAAGCGACGTGGTTTCCCCCAGCAATCTGTTTGTCTGTTTGTGCGCAGCCTCCACGACCAACTTGATGAGCTTCTTTTGCTTAGCTCTTCTCCGGCGTAGTTCTTGAGGCCCCACAATGTGCAGGGCAAGGCAACCCGTACCAGTTCTGGTCTGAAAGTGCCAGCTCGGTCGGGGTTGCGGGCACCCGGTCCCGGATCATCCTCGTCAGCAGTCCTCTGGTGGGCTTGGGAGGGAGCTGAATGTTCAAGTCCTTGCACTTCTGGATGAGTTGATCCAGCTTCATCCCGCTGAGCCCCTTGAGTTCGGAGCTTGTGGTCTTCTCGGCATCCCTCTGTTCTGACAGCAGCGAGCGTAGCTCGGGAACTGTCCACTCCGGGCGGACAGGGACCCCCAGCGCTGTCAAAGTGGCTGTCAACACGGGTTTGTTCATCTTCCATGGCGAAGTCTGGGTCGATGACATCCGAGGGCAGGTCACAAACTCGGAGGTCGGGTTCACGATCAAAAGCAGGCTTGAGATGTTTCTCAAAACGGCTTCGTCCGACCCACAAATACTTGAACTTGACATCAGCCTGCTTCTTCCAATTGCAAGTGTGGGTCAAAGGCATTGCGGTTGTGGTACATGGTGTTTCGCACCAGTCTGCGAGCTGCTCTAACAAGTTTTCTTTCATTTCAATCTTTTAGGTTTGCCATAAGCGAGGGTCGAACGACGATCTCCGGGGCATGACATGGATGCGGTACAAGAACTTGGGAGTCTCAATCCAGAAATCACGATAGTAGTTTTTTGGAGCGCCACCAATGCAAGAAGGCCTCGGCAGAAAATGGTTCACCAATCAACATGTCTTGGACCCCGGAGGACAATTTCTTGGGGATGAAGATCTGCCCACCCAGGTCGGCCATGTATACCGCTTGCGCAGAAGGAACGCAGATCTCAGTGAGACTCCAGTCAACACGCCCAGGCCATGACAGCAACTTAGTCTTGCTGCTAGCCACTGCCACTTGAGGATGGCCTGAGGTACTCATGATCATGCACACAGCGCGCGCGTGTGTGTAAATTGGAAAATCAGCAATCTCCTGGGCAATGTCATAGCGCATGCCCAATGCACCCAATGCAGGCCGGCTCAAAAGCAGAGGCACATCTGCGCCGACCACACTGATCTTCACTGCAAACCAGGCTCCATGGATAGTGCGCCAGGTCACCAATGCCTGCCTCGATGGATACAGGCGTTCTCCCCCAAACTTGAACACCTCGTTCTGTTTCAGGATGAAGTAGGGGATTCCAACCTCCTTCAAGTGGTTGATGAATCTGGGATGGCCAGAAAGGACGGTGTTTCGTTGTCCAGGTCACCTTTGGTGTCCACGGCATAGCTCACCCAGGCTGTGGTTCCCTATGTGCTCCCCAAGGGCCCCTTCATCCTCAGCCAAGTAGACCACATGGGTGGTGTGAAGTTCTCCACCTGCTTTTCCTACTCAATATCCTTATTCCAATGTCCCTTCTTGTGGCATACCGAACAGTAACTTCTGGCCTCAGCTTGTTGTAGCCGTTCCTCCTTGGATTGAGGGAAGCTCCTCTCCTTGAGCGCGGCCCTGTTTGCTCTTGGCGTTCCTGAAGGCCACAAAAGCCTCATGTGTTGCCTCATCATCAATGAACTCCTCGTCACTGGTACAACATGGAGACTTCACACAGGGGCAGTACGTCTACATCTACAGGACCTCCAAAGTGGCTGGGGGGAGTGCCCCGCAAAAGGCAAAATGTGGGTGAATGGATTGGACCTGGGGTCATAGTGTCATAGTGGGTCAGGAAGGAAAGAACTCCTGGGTGTCCCGTGGAGGAAGGTGTTACTATGCGCCAGAGAACACCTTCGACTGACAGAATCTGAGGAGCTGGGCGCGACCCTACAGGCAAAGGCGGTGAAGTCCGACCTCATCAAGCTGATCAAGGGCATGGAGGAGGACAATGAGGAGGTCTTCGCCGATGCCACTGGTGAACCTCGACCCGAAGAAGTTGATGAGGAGATTGAATACACACCATCCCTGGCACCTGATGAGGAGATGGATGAAGAAGAGCACATAACCGGTTCCAAACGGGCGGCAGAAAGCTCAGTTCCTGAAAGGAGAATGAGGCAAGAGGGGTATTGTGAGATGCTACCCACCAAGGTCCCGGTGCCTGATAACAATGAACTATTGTGCTACATGGCCTTGGAAAAGAGGATTCCCCGTGCACTCCAGAAGCAGGCTGACAAGGAGGAGATCCACCTCTACAAGGAAGCGGAAGCAAAACAATGGAAGGAACACCTGAAGTACAAAGCCATCAGGATCAGAGGGTGAGACAAAGGGTTCAGAAGGATAGAATCCTTCGTGCGAGGTTCGCCTACCGCAACAAGAACTGCGCCAAGAGACGTGAAGATCCAACAGCCAAGGCAAGACTCTGCGTGGGAGGACATCGAGACCCTGATCTTCAGACAGGCCAGCTCACCACCGAGGCACCTACAGCAACAAAGACCTCTATAACATGTCGTGTCTTCCTGACCATCCAAATGGGTTGGACATTGGCCGCGGGGGACATCGAGGCTGCCTTCCTCAATGGGGTGGAGGCGAGGCGAGACTTGTACTTCGAGCCACCTGCGCCCGACCTTGAAGGTGTGGAACCTGGAGGCCTCATCGAGATCGTGAAGGAGGTGTTTGGGGCTTTCTACATCACCACGCCTATGGTGGGACAATTGGCTCAGACTTTGTTGGAGGTCACCGTCAAAAGCCACTACGGCAAGTTCCATTTGGTACAACACCATCTCGACAGCTGTCTCTTCTTGCTTGTCGACGAGGACGGGAACCGCTCCCACACCGATCCGGAAGGATCTTGAGAAGGCCTTGTCAAATGTCTTCCCAATCGATGTTTGGGAAGAGGCCACAAATGGTCTGGAGTACTGTGGAGTTTCAGTCCGACAAGATGAACAACAGGTGTCCCTCAGGCAGGAGCACTATGTGAACACCCGACTACAAACGGTAGACATCCCGAAGGGAGCACTTACTGAAGAGAAGGCTGATGAGGTGGCCAAGATGGATGACCAGTCTACGATTGGGGCATTGTCATGGCTTGGCCCAAAGGCGACGGAAGGACCCGCACTTGCGATGTTTAACGGCAGCAGGATCGACAGTACAGAGAGGGAGTGTCAATGAGTGACCCCTCTGTTGATCCTGCTGACCGCATGCCGTATAGGCACACGGGTTTCTCGAGGTAAAATTACCGCGTCCCTTTCAGTTTACACTACTAGTAGCAAGAAGCTACTAGTAACAAAGGGCATTACGACTAGTAGCAA